GGGCAGGTCATGATGATGGGCAGCGTCCGAGTGGCCGAGCTGCTGCTGCTCCACGGCGCGGACCCCAACTGCGCGGACCCCGCCACCCTCACCCGACCCGTGCACGACGCAGCCCGGGAGGGCTTCCTGGACACGCTGGTGGCGCTGCACCGAGCCGGGGCGCGGCTGGACGTGCGCGACGCCTGGGGCCGCCTGCCCGTGGACCTGGCTGAGGAGCGGGGCCACCGCGACGTCGTCCGGTACCTGCGCGCGGCCGCACGGGACACCGGAGGCGGTAGCCACGCTCACGCAGACGCCGCGGAAGGTCCCGCAGGTGAGGTGGCAGTCCAAGAATTTGAACTCAGAAAGCTTCCGCAGCCCAACGCACTCCTTTTTCAGAAGAGAAAGTGGACCCCAGGAGAGCAGGGTGTTTGATCGTAGCTCACTCTGCCAACCAGTGAGACAACCCAGTCTCCCGATCGCACTGCCTTGTTAGGGCTTCCGACAGCAAATAGGTGGACTTCCTCGCGTTAAAGCCCATCCCATAAACAATGCCTCCCACCCTCTAAACACTCACCCGACAGCTGAACAGGAACAGACTGTGGAGAATTGAACACTCAGGAAGCTAAAGGTCTCGTGGCTCCTCTTCCTCCAAATTAGCGGGCCACCCGCATCCACTCAAAGGCCCCAGTTTCCCCATTAGCTTACCTAGGTCGCTGAACCAACCCTATGATTTCCAAAGCCAATTGTGCGTGGCATCTTCTCCCAGAGATCTGTCATTCTTGTCTCCATTGCAAAATTGTACTTAAATCCGACCCTCTCTGCACTATGCTTTGGAGTTTTTCCGGAGCTCCCTCAGGGCGTGCCGGAGGCATCTGGGATGGAGCCCTCCCCAACCCCCGCAGTCTGCATATCGGGATTTGGTGCACGCTCTGAGAAATAGAGACCCTCTCTTAAGCCTTTTCTTCTCTTAAGCTTTCTGTTTCTGCGAGAAAATAGACCACCGAGAGAAAGAGATGGACATGTGGCCCTCCTTGCCTTTTTCTACGACCACAAGGACTTCTTTTCCCTCGGCTCCGTTTCCTTCATCTTTACTCCTGCCTCCCTAAACTACCAACTTTACTGTGACTTTCTTTAAAGGGGGAATCATTTTCTACATCTATATATGAAGAGATATACAAAATTAACATGGAAATTTAAGGTAAACCATGACTTCGAAGAGACCGAAGTCTATCCTGTTTTGGCTCAGAACTGAGGCATTAGACTCCCTGAGCCTATGACAGAGTGGAAAGGCTTGCTCTGGACCTTCAACTGGGAGATGCCTTGAGCAGTACCTTGGGTGTGAGAGGACATCTCCTTTAGTCTGACCACTCACTCTTCCAGTTGAAGTCTGCATCTGGGAAGCGGAGCAGGCCTAGGAGCCAATCACAGGGCTGTTGGGTGGAGCGAGAACGGGCGGGGAAGACAAAGGCAAGGATTGAGATGATTGAATTGGGCTACAGGCAAATGGATAGGGCGACCCTTCACTTTATAACCAAATCTAAGATACTTAACCCAAGTACACATGGCCGGCCTGCCTGCCTGCCTTCCTTGCTTCCTTCCTTCCTTCTCTTTAAGATTCTACTGCGTGATCAGCTCCGTTCCAAGTGGGATACAAAAGCGAACAAGGCGTAACAGGAGTCTTTCCCTCATAGAGCTTACATTCTGGGACATAGACTTTCCGCAATATAACAATGTATTTCGAAGAGTGAGTTTGTAAAAATCAGTGTGATGGATAAGAGTAAAGTGTGAATAGGAGGGGAGGCTGTCAATCAGAGTGGTCAGAGAACCTGACTAATGAAAAGAAATTAGCCACTGGAGGCAGAGAAACTCAAACGTAAAGACTTCAGCGGAAAAGAACGTTACGGGTTAAGAACGGAAAGGCGAGCTGGAGCGAGTACACAACGAAATCAAAGAGTAGGGCAGAAGCCAGATAACGCAGTGGCCCTGTTGAGTCAAAGGCTGCTAGATCAAAACATGGCTTTTACTCTAGAAACTCTAGAAAGCCATTAGCCGGTTTGGGAGAGGAGGGTCTGGGAAAGACGATAGGGCTGGAACCGAAGGTTTTCACACTGCGCGCGGAGCTTTCGGAGCGCCCGGAGCCTGAGGCGCTCTGTGGTTACTCGATTTCGCCGTGTTAGGTGCAACAGACACCTGAGGACCTTAGAAGGGCGAGACGACAACTTCACATCCAGGAGCCTGGCTTTGCCATGCGATAAACACTTGGCAGTCGTAGACTCGCTTTCCTTTTGCAACCCCGCGGCCTTCGGGGCTGCTGTCTCCCGTCCCCAGTGCGGCGGGCCCGGAGCGCGCGAGCCGCGGGCGAGCCAGGAGCGGCCCAGCAGGGCAGCGGACGCGCTGTGAGATGAGGGAGGCTCCGGAGTGCAGCGACAGCTGGAAGGGTCCAGACTCACTAGACAGACCCCGTGCTGAGGGTTGGTGGATGTTAAGAAGAGGTGTCTGCATACCCAGCTAGGTCTGCGAAAGAGGAAGGAGGGAGGGAGGGAGGGAGGGATCGCACGTCTTTGATTTCTGGATTCTAATGTCTTTTTTCTTTCTGCCGTCTACAGACAGTCCCAACCTAAAGCATCATTGAAATCGTCGACAACATAATTTGATCGTCGAAGTGTGAAAATTTCCTACCATCTTAATTAAAACTAAATAAATATATAAAAATTTAGAAATCGTTTCTTCACGTGGATTTGCCTTTCTTTTCCCTTAAATTTCCATTTATATATTGTTATAAACCGACACTTTCTTGTCTTTTCATCGGGTTGGAGTTTTCAGGAGCTAGTACTCAGACCCAGTGAACACGTCTATGCGGGCACTTCCTCTTTGGAGCCTCACACGGGCTGGGCGCTGTTACTACAGCCATTTTGTAAACCAGGGAAACGAAGTTTAAATGGATTACGTGGCCTTTCTTGTGTATAACTGCCAGCAAAAGGCAAAGCCAAGGCTCAAAAAAAATTAAAACAGTGTTCTTTGATTCACTCATTCAGTCCACATTTATTGAGCACCTTTTATGGCACTGTGTCAGGATATAGTTGGGAAAAGAGGAGACAGACATCAACTAATAAGCACAGAAACACATAACTAGAAATTTTAACAACCTGTTTCATTGAATCGCAGATATAGCATTGTTTCCAGGACTCACCATTGCTTCATGTACTTAAGAAAAATGCTGCAGTAAGAGTACATACCATAGATTATTAAGACACATCTGGATTTCAGATGATAAAATGTCAAAATCTGGATCTTAAGATGGATGAGAAGGGGTAAAAAATGATAAATGGAAACTCCAAAGAGACTTCAGGTTGAGAGATTCTCGCACCCTTGGACTTTCGTTACTTACCTGGCTCCAGCAACCGAAGCCCCTCAAGGTTTTGAGTATTTTACACAAAGCGTCACAGCCAATAGGTGGCGGAGCCTGGAGACATGGGGGTTGCAGAAGCTGGCCTACACCCACTAGCCGGTTCTGCAATCCCCAGAGGCTTGAGTGAGCTGGCTCCCCCGTGCCCACCCAGCGCTCTGGGACTCGCCAGCAGCGCGCTGTGTGGTTGCTGCTCTGACCGCCACCCAAACCAAAAGCAGCTCTGCACTTCTCTGCCAGAGCAGGGATGCTGCAGGAATGTGGCTCTAATTTCAGTCGCCTTGGCCTCCAGTTGCTTGTTTATTTTTTATTGATATGAAATTCACATGACATAAAATGAACAATTTTAAAATGTATAATTCAGTGCCATTTAGTACACTCACAATATTGAGTATTGATGGTTATTATCATTTATCTAGTTGCAAAATATTTTCATCATCTCTGAAGGAGACCCTATAACCCATTAAGTGTATTCATTAGATCCTCCCTATCCCCAGGCCCTGGCAACCACTAGTCTCCTATTGTCTCTATGGATTTACCTATTCTAGACATTTCATGTAAGTGGAATCATACAATACTTTGCTTTATGTGTCTGTCTTCTTTCACTTAGCATGTTTTTGAACTTCATCCATGTTGTAGCATGTATCAGTACTCCACTCCTTTTTATGGCTGAACAGTATTTCATTGTTTATCCCTTCATCTGGTCATGAACATTTGAGTTGTTTCCACCTTTTTGGCTTTTGTGAAAGTGCTGTGAACATTGTTATACAAGTATTTGTTTGAATACTTGTTTTTAATATTTTTGGGTGTATACCTAGGAATGAAGCTGCTAGATCATATAATAATACTGTTTAACTTTTTGAGGCTGCCATACACTTTTCACAGCAGCTACCTAATATTTCTGTTTTTTGTTTTTGCATACAGTGTGAGGTAGGGGCCTAATTTTATTCTCTTGCAAGTGGATATCCAATTGTCCTAGCACCATTTGTTAATGAGACTATTCTTTGTCTTTTGAATGGTCTATGATCCTTGTCAAAATTCAATTGCGTATAGATGTATTGTTTTATTTCTGGACTCTCAATTATATTTTATTGAGATATATGTATACATTTATGTCTATGCCACACTGTTTTGATTACTGTAGCTTTGTAGTATGTTTTGAAATTGGGAAGTGTGAGTACTCCATCTCTGTTCTTCTTTTTTCAAAATTCTTTGGATCTGTTTCAAGTTTGTATCCAAAGCCCCTTGCAATTCCATGTAAGTTTTAGAGTCAGCTTTTTCATTTCTTAAAAAAGGAGGGGGGCACTGGGATTTTCATAGGGATTGTGCTGGATATGTAGATTGCTTTGGGTACTACTGCCATCTCAACAATATTAAGTCTTCTAGTCCATGAACACAGGATGTCTCTCCATTCATTTAGGTTTTCTTTAGTTCCAGCAATGTTTTGTGTGTACAAGTATTTTCAGTGTACAAGTATTGCACCTACTTGGCTAAATTTATTTCTAAATATTTTATTCTTTTTGATGCTATTGACAAGTGAGTTTTTTTTTAATTGCCTATCTGGATTGTTCATTATTAATATTTTGAAATACAAATAATTTTCATGTGTTGATCTTTTATCCTGCAGCTTCACTGAATTTGTTTATTAGCTCTACTAGTTTTTTGTGAATTTATTTAGGATTTTCTATATAAGATCATGTTATCTGCAAAGATGGATAGTTTTACTTCCCCCCACCCCCTTACTTCCCCAATTTGGATGACTCATTTCTTTTTTTCTTGCCTTATTGCTCAGGTTAGAACTTTCAGGACAATGTCGCTTGTATGATTCTGAATAGAGGAAGCAAAGGCAGTTATTCTTTTTTTTTGTTCCTGATCTTTGGGGGAAATCTTTCAGTCTTTCACTACTGAATCTGATGTTAGTTGTAGTTTTGTTTTTCATAAATGCCCTTAATCAGATTGAGGAATTTCTCTTTATTCCTAGTTTGTTGAATGTTTTTATCTTGAAAGAGTGTTGGGTTTTGTCAAATTCTTTTTCTGCGTTAATTGAGATGATCATGTTTTTCTATTAAATGGTATATTACATTGATTGATTTTCATATTTTGAACCCCTCCTGAGATAAATATCACTTGGTCATGGTGTATAATTCTTTTGACATTCTGCTGGATTCAGTTTGCAGGGATTTTGTTGAGGATTTTTTGCATCTACATTCATAGGGAATATTGGTCTGTTATTTTCTTTTCTTGTGATGTCTCTGGCTTTTGGTTATCAGGTAATGTTAGTCTTATTGAACGAATTAGGAAGTATTTACTACTTTTTTAATCTTAGAAGAGTTTGAAAAAGATTGGTGTTAACTATTCTTTAAAAGTTTGATATAATTCACTAGTGAATCCATCTGGTCCCGGGTTTCTCTTTGTCAGGAGGGGTTTTTCCCCCTACTGATTCAGTCTCCTTACTTGTTATAAGTCTATTCAGATTTTCTCTTTTTTTCCTGGATCAATTTTGGTAGTCTGTGTTTTTGTAGGAATTTGTTCATTTTATCTAGGTTACCTGATTTGTTAGTGCACATTGTTCCTAATTTTCTCTTGTAAACTTCTTTATTCCTTTAAATTCGCTAGTAACGTCCCCATTATGCTGTGTTTAAGTCATCTTTTACTTGACTCAGGGTTCACTTGGATGCTGTAAACCTTCGACTATTTTCCAGTGTTCCCTCAAAGTCAATCTGACACATTTTTTGGTGTTTCTGTGTAGAGATGGGCCCTTGGAGCTTCCTATTCTGCCTTTTCCACTGATGTACCTTCAATTGTTTTGTTTGATCTGTTTTACTTTTGAGCAGAACGGCAAAATGCCTCTGATGTACCAAGTTCCTTCCTCCATACATCCCCTGTCACTGTGACTCTGTCCTCCATTCCCCCCATTACCCGCCTCTCGCCCAGGCCTCCGGCTCTGAGTTATCGTCCGTCACCCACCATTTCTCTGAACTCCACTCCAGTTCTAAAACTCAGCTCTCCCCCTCCAGATTTTCTCCACCGCCCTCCTCCCTCTTTTTTTGCACCGTAAGAGCTGGCTTTTTTCCTTTCCTGAATTGTCTTGCGCGCACGCAAACACACACGCTCCTCTTCAGAGATTCCTCACGTGCAGTCATTCCCCTGCCTGCCGCTCCCTCGCCAGCAGGCGGGGCGCGCCTCAGGGGCAGCACCGGCGCTTATTGAAGGTCCCAAGGGCCTCCCACCTGACCGGGCTGGAGCCCCGGGCCCTTCCCCGGCCCTGCGCTCGCTCGCTCGCTCGCAGGCGTGCACGTGTGCGTCTCAGAGCACGCAGAGCGCGCCGCCACGGCGCCTACGAGCGACGGACGTGAAAGTGAAATCCGGAGCTCGGCCCCACGAGAGCGGGAGTGGCCGACAGACTCGGGCGGCTTTCTCTGGTTTAAAAAAAAACAAAAACAAAAACAAAAAAACTAAGGAAGAAAGTAAAGAAAGAGGGAGCGAGAGGAGGGAGCGAGGAAGAAGAAAGAAGGCCGGTTCTAAGCTAGACGGAGGGGCCTTGAGGCTGGAGGGGAGGCTGCGGGACCGCAGCTCAGCTCGGAGGCCGGAGGCCGGGGCTTTCCCATAGTAACGGACATAACGGACGAAACCTCGAAACCTCGGAGCCAGCCAGCCGTGGAGGGAAGGAAAAAAGGTACTGCCGGACTGAGGCATTTTCTAGCTTCATTGGGGAGCGCCCCAATGAAACTGGGAGCTCGAGGCCCCGGAGGGCAGCCTCGGATTCTCCGTCCTGGGTGCCCTAGTAGCCGCACCTCTTCCCAGGTCTCACGTACCTGATTTAAGCAATAACGTCCAAGCAATAAGCAAACAAACATGTATATTTTAAAATGAATATTACTCTCTCTTTTTTTTTCTATTTGAACTTTTCTTTGAGTGAATTGTCTTTTCCTTAAATAGCTGACTTAATCACTGGGTGTTGCCACATTTCTGCCTGTAGATGGCTTGATCTTTCATTTACCTTTTCTTTTTTAAAGAGGAGGTATTGAGGATTGAACCCAGGACCTCGTGCATGCACTCTACCACTTTGAGCTATCCCCTCCTCTGTAGACAGCCTCGTTTTAAAGAATTGTTTTTCTTGAGGCGTCGCAGCCATGGGACAAGGCTGCCTGTGGACTGCTGTCTAAAATTATTTAAGTTATCTCCTCTGTTTACTTATCAATATCTTTAAGGTATTTCTGAGCATATTGAGAATAATCATTCCCCAACCCCTGTCTCCATTCAGGTGGATAATGTAGCTGCCCCAGATCCTG